GTTAAAGTTTCTTTCAAAACTTACAGAAGTACATGTATTAGGGTTTTGTTTTCAGATGCGCTCAGAGGTGAGAAAAGGGAAGGCATTAGACTAAAATTGGGAGGGAGGGTTTATGTGACAGCGCTTTTGCGTAGAATAATGTTGTGCAGATCTTCTGTGAAACTAGTATTAGATGTGCCAAGTCTTATGCAAGCAACAGGAAAAAAAAACTGTTTGTTTCAGAGGCCTTTTAACTTTGGGCTTTCTTTTATTATGTTTGCACATTTCAGTCTGGTGTAGCTGGTTCTACGTAGCTGTGGAAAGCGTTACAGAAACCTCGCATACGTGTATGGAACTACTACATGCTGAGAAGTTCCTTTGAAAGGCTAACTTGTACCCTGTCAAAATTAATGATATCTTTTGGCTAAACCTGTTCCTTGGACTTACTTTGTGTATTTTTGTGAGAACAGCCGCTGACTGGGAATGGTAGTGTGGGTTTTTCCAAGCAGGCAAAATGAGTCATTCCAATTCAGATGTTAAGTGCTGTGGCCTCATCTCCAACAACCTCTGTACCTGGCAGGGAACGTCTGTGAGAACGGAGGTAAATTGTCAGGCTTGACTTTATGATTGTTGGCCTTCAGTCCTAAGTTGAGAAAAGTTTCTTTTCTACACATAGAACGTTCAAAGTAACACAAAGCATGAGACGAGCAGCACAAGCAAGCTAAGAGTATTAGCCCGTTTGCCGCTGGCTGGCTGTGAGGAGCGGCGATGCACTTGTGCTGAACGAATGACAACTGTGGAGCTGGGAGAGAAAAACCGTTCTTGTTCGGAAGGGCGGGATATGATCGCCCTGTGTGTGCCTGGGTGCGCCAGGGGACCGACACACGTACTGCTCTTCAAATGGGCACCCTGCAGAATGTCTCGTTCCCTTCTGCTTCTCAGTTGCACGCTGACAGTGGAACAGCCTTGCGGTATCTTCCCATTTAACTCCTCAACTCCTTTCCCCCGTTCTTTACAGCTTTCCACGATTGGCTCTGTATCAGCTGAGCAGTTTTAGCTGTGCAGAAACTTTGTGCCGAGAGGGGAAGGTTGAGCCTGAGAAGGAAATGGCCTGACACGTGGTTTGGATCTACTGGTTGCTTGATGCATATGAGTTGGCATAAGTAATTTTGTCTTTGTACGTTACTTTCAGCACTAATCTTCGTGTGACTCTTTTTGGCTTGACAAACATGACTTAGTGGATTAATAGCTAGGACTATTAGACAGGACTTCACACTGCCCAGCTGCTGCGATGCTGAAATCCGTTCAGCTTCCCTTTGAGCGCTGGCAGCCGCGGTGACGGGTTTTGGACCTTTAAGTGAGATGAAGTGTCTGACTGAGAGCTAGCAGTAC